AAATTCCGCTCGTGTTTTATGACAGGGCTGATGAACCTGACGACCATGACCTTACCCGAGTTCTACATTTATATCGAGTGTCTGCTCCTCTGTCCTAACGCAGTAGGGTTGGGATTACTTGCCAGTGTCAGTTTGTATAATAGGTGTGGTTACTGCATTGGACAAGCTCTGTGAAAAAGAGAAAGATTGCAGAGTTGGCTTCCTCTCAAACGTCTGTGTCTGATTCACAGACATCTGTGTCTCCCTGAGAAAGAACTTTCACAAGCAGAGCTGTCCAACAAAGAAATAAGCCACTTCCTATGGGAGTGAGCTGCTCCGAACGGGAAGTGGCCGGGCAGAGCCATTTCTCGGGGCTGTGGAGAAGGCACTCCAGCACCATGACAGGGAGGGCGAGCCTTCCTGAGAGTTGAGGATGCTGCATTGGTGAGGGAGGCAGCCTCGGGTCACACACGCTTGCTATGAAGTGACACCCAGTGAGGGTCTGCTATTTCATAGTGAGCTGTTTGGAGAAGCGAGGCTTTGGGTAGGTTTCACAGGAGGCTCCAATGGAAGGCATTTGGGTTGGCCTTCGCAATAAGCCTCTACAGAAGCACCTCTAAGGCTCAGGTCATGAGGTCAAGCTGCAGAGCAGAGCATGGTGGGCTGGCAGCCCAGAGCAAGTCTAAGTGGCATTTTAGACCCTTTAGGACAAGCATGGCATGGGAGCGCCTCCCCCCAGGCTCGAGTTTGACGTGCCTGCTTTAGGCAGAAAGATGCTCTGTCCCCACACTGTCTGACATCATTATTCAATTGGCTGCTCAGCCAGCTCTGGGCTCTTAAGTGGGTCTCCGCTCCTCTCCTGCCCGTCCTCTCAGAACCAACTCTGGTCCAGCCCCCGGACCTGGAGGAGGGCGTCATTCTTCAGCTCTGCGTGCTGCCCCCTCCTCTGGAGGAAATCGCACTCGGTGCTCAGCGCGAGGAGAACCCCAAGCTCTTCCTGGAGGGCTTCGGGGCAGGTCTGGGGCCCTGCTTGGGAAAGCAGCGAGTGCAGAACAGCAAATGTTCCCCCGAAAACGTGCTTTTGCTTCCCGGGCAGGGGAATTTCCTGGGGCGGGAGGGCGGCGTGGGCTTTCTTCTGGAGCGCAGCGTTCTGGTGAGGTCCATGTGTGAGCATACCGCGGCAACCACAGCGGAATGCGCCGCAGGAAGTGTCCCAGCTGCTGTCTATTAGCATTAGAACAAATTACACAAAGCAAATTGTTAGCAGACATGTTTCCGTAATATTTAACTGGCGGCAATAAATAAGAGCGATTCTCTTTCAAGTAAATGCTGCGTTTCCAAAACTCCAGCTTCCAATTGTCCGTGAAGGACTCATCTCCGAGGAGGAGGGAGGACACCCTGGGAGCCTGCACAGCGGGAGTCAGGCCGGAAGCTCAGGTGCTGGTGCGGGTGTGGCCGCGGGACTGACGTCACAGGGCGCCCCCAAGAACGGGCGCGCCTCTGGGTGTCCCACCACCTGCTGGGTGCAGCGCCGGGGCCTCGGCACGTCTTCTCCTGCCACAGGCAAACGCCCGAGACAAGGCAGCTCTGCTCGGTGCTTGGAGTGTGTTTATGATCCACACCCACGGGCAGGTTTTCGCCCTTCTCCTTAACAAAAGATTGCATTTTCAAGAATGTATCTACTCCCTCACCTTCCCATGTTCTGTTATCTGAGATTTCTTTTTTTAATGAGACCCCATCGGAGAAGAGTTGAAAAAGTGTCCCATCAGAACAAACATCGAACAGCACCGCCTTCTGCTCGCACACATAGAAACCTGGCTGTTTCTTTAGAAAGAAAACATAATTTTTCATCTTTCAAGACCTACTGACAATGACTAAATTCCAGTTCCTAGTCACCTCTGAGCATTTCCAACTATCTTCAGATATATGACAAAATTCTCCTAAAGCAATCTCAAAAAAAACAATTTAAAAAATAATTTTAATATTTAAAAAGAAATATTTCATACAGGATGTAAATACAAAAAATAGGTTATGGCAGCTTCCAGGGCTGGGGACTGTTAGAAGAAGTGTCCTTTTCTGGTTTTCCTAAGAAATTTATGGTTTTGTCCCCCTCCCTCACCGATTTCCTTTTCAAGCAAAGCCAACCTCAGCTCGGCACTCCTTTGCCATGTATTTCAATATCATACATGGTTCTCCGGAGGGGCCCTTCCCTCCTTTTTCTACCGGAAGGAAAAAAGCTTGGCAGCCCTGCTGAAGGGAAATGCCAGGAGCCAGTGTCCACGCTGGCGGGCAGTGAACAAGATGCTGGAGAATATTGCTTTTTGCCTACAGGTCTCCCTGGCTGGGCCTCTCCTCTGAGTCACAGTGAGCCTCAGTCATCTCGGCGTTGGGTAGGCCCAGAAGCCCCCAGCTGCCTCCAGGGCGCCCCCTGCTGGCGATAGAAGGTAAGCACGTTATGCCTCCATGTTACAAAGCTGGGGACACAAATTTAACCAAACACATGTAGTAGCTGACACACTCCCAGCCACTTCCTAAGGCTCTTCCAACTACAGTGTCAGGACACACACACACACACACACACACACACACACACACACACTCCTCACGTCTTTTACCTGAAGTCTTCACCAAAGGAATAATGTGCTTCATAAAATATTTAAAACCCCTTAGGCAATAGCATTGTGTCTAGATTTTTTAAAAAGTGTTTAAAGAAAAGTATAATTGGAAATACTTGGAACAGGAACACACACTCTCTCTCTAATTTGGAAATACGCAAACTATAGCGTTATTCGTCACAACCTGAAGCAAAGCTATGACAGTGGCATAACAACTACAACATCTGTGCAAGTGTGGGGTCCCCAAATAAGCTCACATTTAGACAAGAGCGACGCACACGGCCTGACTCTTTAAGGTCTGTTTAGAGGAAATGGCCTGGCATGTTTTACATTTGCTAAGCTATTTGGCTGCCTGGTTTGACAAGATTTTTGAAAGGGGTGAAAATTAATTATTATTGCAGTACTGCTACAATGATTTGGTCGGCTGAGTGCATTCCAGTGCAAAAACAGGCAAGGGAGAATTTCCTCCCCGGGCTATTCTCTGATATGGCAGCATTCGTTTTAAGAGTAATGAAATTTTTAAAAAGTCAAACCTTAAATACCATGGCTTCAGCAATCTGTCCTGCTTAAAGTTTAATGCGAAATGAGATAGCACCTCCATGAGAGCAGTTACATGTGAACATGGATCCAGTTTTCTCCTAGACTTGAGATGGAAACATCTCCCACCCCTGAAAACTACCCAAAGTCTCTCTTTGACATTGTTTGGGGATAATTTCAATCTGGGGGCACAGTGCTCGTGTTTTTGTAGTGAGGGAGGTGCTAGTGAGGGAGGGTGGGAAGTTGTGAAAGTCTCTAAATGAGGTATATGTTGATGGAAGAGGCACCATGAGTTTCAGAGGGTTGAGCAGAAACAGTGGAGAAACATGGGTTGTCGTGAGGTTTCCAGATTCTCACAGCATGGCATGGAGTATTTCTCATGATCTTCATCTAATTCTAACCAATTTCTAAAGAATCAATTTACAAAGCTACCCAGGGCTGCCTTGGGGTTCGCGCAGGCTATGTCCTGCACAGGGGCACTGGTTGAGGGGTGAGGGGGCGAAGTCCCAGCCTGTTCCACTCTCCAGCCGAGATTCCTGCTCAGGCTGCCTCCCGGAGGTGGGCGTGCCTTTTCTAATGTATATTTGGGCCAAGAGAAACCCTGAGGTTCTTTTTGATCCTCACCCTTCAGATTGCAAAGTCTGGTCTTCATCTCCTCACCTCCAACTACGGATTTTTTTTTTTTTTAAGAAAATGGATATGCCCCTGGCAAAGGTGAATTCATTTTGAGGATATGTTTTCTGTTCGGTGAAAGAGGAAGGAAAAAAAGAGAGAGGGAAAAGGATAAGAAGAAGAATGAAGACAAAGTTGTCCTTCTGCCTAGGAAATTGTGGATGCATCGTCCTTCCCTGGACACAGCTGCAAAGGGACAGAAAATCAATTTTTTTCTATTACTCCACAGCGAAGAAGGAAAACCTCTCTGTAAATTGCATTAAAACCCAATAATAGCATGTCTGCGTATTTGTTAAGGACTAGAAAAAGTAGCAACGATACAACTCCATAATCCAGCAATGTAACTAGCAATCAACACTCCCATTTCAAAGTTTAGATGAGACATTCTTCTTCTTTTTTAAAGAAACACCCATGGCTAAATGTCACTAAGACTGCTCGGCGGGCCAATGTATCGACACCTCAGTAAGGATTCTGGAAGAGAAGAAACTCCAAAGCCCCATCTGGGAAGAATGAACTTCCAATTTCTTGCTTTCGCTGCTGTGCATCAGTCCGTAATAATGATTGGCTAAGAACTAGAACCTTCTAGAAGATGGTTTCTTTCCAATTATCTTTGGGAGGTAATTAGGTCTTCCCAAGTTTGTAATCTGTGGTGCCGACCTTGGAATAAATTCCCTATGCTGTGTAGGCTAGATCTTGTTCACGGAAGCCCTAACCCTCCTGCTGAGGACAGAATTATCCGCCTGCAGGAGTGAGGGTCCTGAAATCTCATTAGCAGTCTGCCCTCTAGTGGGATAACACAGTACTTCAGATCACTGGGAATAGAAAAGGTTTTTTTTCTCCTCTTTCAGAGAGCAAAAGAATTCAAGTTTTCCAGATAGTGCAAGGGGAGGCATTTATCTTCAAAGACACCGTCCAGAGCTGAATCAAGCAAGGCTCACAATGATAGGTTCCCAGGTCACAGTCAAAGACAGGTGGTGCTGTGGTGGGCGTGGCCACAAGGCCTGCAGAGCAAGACCAAGGTTCTTTTCACACCCATGGAACCCTCCAGGGTTCTCCTTGGGTGATAGCACTCAGTTCCCCACTCTCTCATTGTCCAAATAGGACCCACTCTGATGGCAACCAACCTCTTAGGAATGTTACAGATCATAGGCATTTTTGTAATTTTTTGGCAAATCATTAACACAAAAGAGCCTTTGAAATGGGCCAGGTTGACTTTTTAAAAAGGCAAAGAGTTTTGTAAAAAGACCCCGTCTTTGTGCCTGTTGTTTTGAAGAAGGGAATCTGTTTTTCCATGGTGGCTGGATGTTGGTAAGGCAGAGATGATCTTGAGATCTGCTGGCTGGATTTTGCTTCTAGCTTCTAAAAACCTTCAAAACTTGGCCTGCTTCAGTTTGTCAATATGGTAGCAGAGTTTCAGCGCAGGTCCCAGCTTCAGGCCCAAGTATTTCATAATCATGTCACTCTTCAGCAGCAAGAGAGCATTGCCGTCAATCTCCTGGTGGGACAGGATCAGAACAAAGGAAACCCAGAAGATGGTCAGAGTGATCAAATGGTGGCCAAAGTTAAAGTGTGGTCAGGGGGTGAGGTAAGGAAATGTGGATGCACTTAGGACATGTTCTTAGTCGCAACGCAATATCTTCTTTAAAAGATAGAGCAAAAATGTTATATGCTCCTCTCCCTGGGGTAATTTAATACAATGGATCTTTCATATTCCTACTTCATCAGGATTGAAGGAATTAAACATAACTCCAGCATGGTCCCAATATCTCACATATGATGTCTTTCTCTTCACCCAATCTAGGGCTAAAGGAGCAAGAAGTGTGCAATGGACTGAGTGTCCCCTGACCCCCTCCCCATTCATAGGTTGAAATCCTAACCTCCAATAGGTGGTTACTTTGGGGGTAATTAGGTTACGATGGTGAAGCCCTCATGAATGGGATTAGTGTCCTTATACAATGAGAAGATGACAATCTGCAACCTGGGAAGGGGCTTTCACCCGATGAAGACCAGGCTGATCTCGGACTTCTGGTCTCCAGCACTGAGAAGTGAATTGCTGTTGTTCACAGCCAGCTGGCTATGGTACTTTGTTAGAGCAGCCCGAGCTAAGACAAAGTGTCATCCCTTAGACCAGCTGTGGGCAAACTACGGCCCGTGGGCCGGATCCGGCCCGTTTGAAATGAATAAAACTAAAAAAAAAAAAAAAGACCGTACCCTTTTATGTAATGATGTTTACTTTGAATTTATATTAGTTCACACAAACACTCCATCCATGCTTTTGTTCCGGCCCTCCAGTCCAGTTTAAGAACCCATTGTGGCCCTTGAGTCAAAAAGTTTGCCCACCCCTGCCTTAGACCCTGGAACTAGTGGTGCCCTTCCCACTAGTTTCTCCTGAGCCATGGATTCTCCTGAGATCCTCAGAAAGAATGTCAGCCCTGCCGGCACCTTGACCTCAGCGCAGTGAGACCCCTGCCAGGTGCTGGTATAAGGCCCTGACTTCCATCCACCACTCTAATCTCTTGTTTCTTTTCTGGGTAAGCCCACCTACCTTTAGCTGATCACCAGATTGCTAATTACACCCTATGAGGGCATTCAAGTGTTTTTTGGCCCTGTCAGTAATGCTGGGTGGCATACCACTAAATAATGCACCTGCTTCATCTCACGGTATAGCACAAAGAACTACCAAGGAAATGCCAATCCCTTGAGGTCCTGGCATTGCTCCCATTTGTCTCTGAAAATGGTAAACCTTCAGAATGCGTGTTGAATTCATGGACCTAGTAGGGCTGGGCTTCCTCGTTAACCATTAGTGCTATTTTCAGGGCACTTGAAATAAAGGGTAGAAATGTGGGGCACTTGGCTGAGAAGGAGGCACAATTACAGGACTCATATAACTGCAAGGGTCACCAGTCCCTCTCCTTCATCTACACTCTAGTTGCTGATGAGGTGCTGACTCTGTGTCACTCTCCATGTCCTTGGCACAATGCAGAGTGGGCCAATCTCATCTGTGGGCCCTCCCAGGGGCCTCATTGCCTAAAGTCTCTCTTTACCCCACCCCCTAGACTTTCACCGTCTCCCACCGCTCTGGACCACAGCCAGGCTCCTCCCACCCAGCTCTGTCTAAACATAACCCGCCCTGTGGTCCTTGCCCATAAGGCCCACTGCTAGGTGAGGTCCAATATATCCCTAGTAAATGTCAGTGTCAGGTTAGATAAAGATCCTCCCCAGATCTGAGAGGATGATTTCTCAACAGAAACACCAAATTAAATGAGAGACAGGCAGGGGAAATTAATAGTAACTGTAGTTGGCAGAAGAATGCTCCCTCTTCTCGTTCCAAGACATCTATGTCCTAATCCCTGAAACCTATGAACATGCTAGGTTACCTGGCAAAGGGGAAGTATGTTTGCAGAAGGAACTAAGGCTGCCCATCAGCTGACTTTATAATAGGGAGAGTATCCTGGGCCAGTGGGGAGTGGGGAGCAAGGTAACCACAGGGTCCTTTATTGTGGAAGAAAGGAAGAACAGAAGAGTCAGCAGCCTGAAGAGGACCCTGCTTAATGTTATATCTTTGAGGGTGAGGATGAGGGGATAAGAGCCAAGAAATGAGGGTAGACAGATGCTGGACAAAACATGGAAATGGATTCTCCTGAGAGCCTCCAGAGAGAATGTCAGTCCTGCTGGCACCTTGACCTCACTGCCAGACCCCTGCCAGATTTCTGACCCAGGGAACTGTAAAGTGATAAATTTGTGTTGTTCTTGGTTGGGTGAGCTAGGAGAGGGTAAAGGGGGTCAAATATCTGGCAACAAAAGAAGACTTGACTTTGGGTGATGAACACACAATACAATACACAGATGATGTATTATGGAATTGTACACTGAGACCTACATAACCTTATTAACCAGTAAATTAAAATTTTTAAAGTGTTGTAAGCTACTACATTTGTGGTAATTGAGTATAACAGCAATAGAAAACTGACATAGTAAGCTTGGTGGGTAAAGTATGAATTCTTATCTTTTTTTTTTTTTTCATTTACCACCTGTACATATTTCAGGATCTCCTAAATGATTATATGAATGCCTGCTAACTGAAGGCTACCTACAAACCAGGCACCATGCTGAACACTCGGGTGCATCTTCTCACTTAATCCTCAAACAGTTTAGGACTAGGCACTAACAGTTTGCCTGGCATATCGTAGGTATACTATAGATATTTGTTGAATGCACAAACGGATGGATGGATGGATGGATGGATGGATGGATAAATGGGCAGGAAACAGGCACTCCTGTTAAAGCACAAAATGATGGAACAGATGGGACAAATATCCCTCTAAAACAAACTAAGTGGTGATTGTGCTCTGAGAAGAACTGGCCTCCTTGAATTGTGCCCCCAGAGCTTAGTTCAGAACCGCCCCCAACCCCCAGCTCCCTGAACCTCCCCCTTCTCCCATGCCTCCCCCCCCAACCTCCCCCGGGCCAGGCCCACCACACACATACATGCTTTCTGAAGAGCTCCACGTGAGGCCCCAGAGCCTGCGGGTCAGCGTCTTTCACGAACCGGACCACATCCTCCACGGTCCAGGTGGACGGGTTCCTGCTCCTTGGCCGCCTGCCGTCCTGCCCGTCTGGAGAAGGGCTTGAGGCTGGATGGGTGAGCATGGAGAGCAAGACCATTAGACACCAGGACAAGGGCCTGAGCCCCTACCTGTGCTGCCTGCTCACACCTGGCCCTCAAGTCCAAGGTGCTGGCCTGAGTGACCTCCTGTGACAGAGAAAGGCTGTGAGTGTCCGCACCCTGGTTACGACCCAGTGTCCCTCCAGCTTCCCTTGTCCACCTTTAGCTGGGGCTTTGGCTTCTGTCCAGGAGACATTTACCCTCCCTCCTTCCCACGGAGGCTCCACCAGCATCAGAGCCCAGGGAGACCCCTTCCCGGGCAGCATGTCTGTGTCCTGCCATCTGAACGCCACCTTCCTTCACCTTTAACCCCCAAATCTTCGTTTGTTCTTCTCTTAAGATGCTTTTCAGCCTGGCCGGCGTGGCTCAGTGATTGAGCATCAACCTATGAACCAAAAGGTTTGATTCCCAGTCAGGGCATGTGCCTGGGTTGCTGGCCCGATCCCCGGTGTGGGGCATGCAGGAGGCAGCCGATCAATGATTCTTTCTCATCATTGATGTTTCTATCTCTCTTTCCCTCTCCCTTCCTCTCTGAAATCAATCAAAATATTTATTTTTTTAAAAGATGCTTTCCATTTTGCCCCGAATTACAATTATGCACGTACTTGCCTGCAACCTCCAGTTATATTTTAATTCTTGAGGATGATCTTTTCCACCTTCCCCTCCCCCCATTCATTCCACAAACATCTACTGAGCATCTGTCTCTTCTTTACCAGGTCCTGGGCAAAATGTGTGGTGGGAAACCACACAAAATGTGTGGTGTCCTCTCATTAGGGGGTCTGTAATCATTGGCTTCTCCATTGCTCTAAGTATATATTTATAAAAACTGGGTCAATCAATGTAAAATGATTCAGTATCTTTTGCAGAAACAGTATAAATAACTTACACAAGAGCCTTGTGTGGGTAATCCTTAATCCCATGTTCAGGCCAGAAAAAAGCTGAGGCTCTGAACAACGAGGCCGCTTTCCCACAGAATAAGCCTATATTAGAAGTGGGGGAGCCTTTGCTGTTTCCCTGCTCCAGCCTCAGGGCACAGCGGTTCTCTGCTGTCCCTTCTTCCCGCCACGCTGTACGGTGCTGGAGAAAAGCACAGCCTCCCATTTCTGATCCATCCTAAATACGTAATGGTTTGGTTGAGAATGGGGTTTCTTTGACATTTCCCTGCCTTTCCTTTTGCTCCTGGAAGAGTCCCCTCAGGTTGTCTGGCACGGGACATTTTTGCCGGGAAACTGTCACTGCCCCCTGGAGCCATCTGAATGCAGATGTGTGCTTATTAGAGATGACTCCACAGCCCTTAACGACATCTGCACTCAACATGGGGACGAGGCATCACGGAATCGAGTTTGCCTCTGGATCCCGCCCCATTGGAGCTTCGGCATTAGTCAGGATGATAATAGATGCTCTGATTACAAAGGCTGGAAGTCTATGGTGCCAAGAATGACTTTAGAGTGATCAGAGCAGAGGGCAAATCTAATTTCCTGTATCTGATAGAAAGAAGAAATTCCAGGCCGACTCACAGCCTCATCCATGGGAGCCTGAGTTCCTCTGAGCAAGGCCAGGGAACAGGGCTGAGCAAGGGAGGTGTGTGTGTATCTACAAGGAGGTGCACCAGGTGATGGCCCTGGAGGGAGAGCGTCCCCCTCCTGGCGCCTGCTGCTCGCTGCGGGCATTTTTCACTTTTCCAGGCTGGAAGGGCTGCAGCCAGGCCTGGGAGCCTCTCTGAGGGGCCTTTAGTCATACAAGACAGAGAGCGGCAGGAAGCCTGTCACACCCCTGGAGGTGCTCAAGTTCCAAAACACACAGACTCCCTCTAGAACAGTGGTTCTCAACCTTCCTAATGCCGCGACCCTTTAATACAGTTCCTCATGTTGTGGTGACACCCAATCATAAAATTATTTTCGTTGCTACTTCATAACTGTAATTTTGCTACTGTTATGAATCGTCATGTAAATATCTGATATGCAGGATGTATTTTCATTGTTACAAATTGACCATAATTAAAGCATAGTGATTAATCACAAAAACAATATGTAATTATATATGTGTTTTCCGATGGTCTTAGGCGACCCCTGTGAAAGGGTCGTTTGACCCCCAAAGGGGTTGCGACCCACAGGTTGAGAACCGCTGCTCTAGAAGGAAGAGAAATGGAACTTTCTGGTAGCAGGTTTGTAAAGCCTTTGCAGAGACCTCTGCTCACAGATATAAGGGATCCACCAGCCCCTCCATCTGCTGTGAAGGTGTCAGAAAGACGAATGGGTACGGCCAGGCAGATGTGACTGGACAGTGGTAAGATGTGATGGACGTGAAAAAAATCTTGCTCCTAAAGGAACAGAGCACGCAAAGTGCTCGCCCAGGGCCTTTAGGGAGGCGGCATTCTCCAGCACAGAGGATGCTGTGCATGGTCCTGTCCATTCACTGGGCTGCTGGAGACGTGAGAGTGAAACCCGACTGTGAACACATGTGTCACTAAAGATGGCTGTTGTCATTTCTAAGCAGAACTCACATTCCCCGGGAGTAGAATGACTATGAATCGGGGTTTAAAGCAATCCCGGCATTCTCACAGCACAGGCACTGGTACTGCCATCTCTGAGTCTCTCCTGCCTCACACACACCCACAAGCACATGCATAATTTCCTCGTGTGCATTCATAAGTCAGAGAAAATTTCTTAGTTAACAATGGAGTCACAAGAAGAAGGGAATGAGCAATGAGCTCAGAGTCAGAAATCCCTACCACCCACCAGCTACATGAGCATCTTTGTGCCTCTCGGGTGTGAAATAAGGGAACTGGTAAGGACCTCGAAGGTCCCTTCCACCTGAGACACTGCAGAGCCCTGTTACGCCACAGGCTGTCCTGAGCAACACTCACGGGTTAACCTCTCACACATCTGAGACCTTCATCTGTGTCCATGTGCAAAGCCTACGGGATGAAGAATCAATAACCAGGCTCCTGGTCCCTTTCTTGGCCCTGATCATTCTCTATGGGCCTCTGTTTCTTCAACTTGTTTCTCAAGAGTATTGTAAGAATCAAGGGAATGTGTAGCTTTGGGCGGGAGCCAGGTAAGAAGCATCTGAAGGAAAGCCTATCAGTGTCCAAAAGGGAATAAGGGTGCCCTTCCTCGGGCTGCCTGTAGAGCCCCTCGGCCCCCCAGCTAGAGCTGGGTTGGGAGGAGACAGGGTGAAGGCAATGGGGAGGGTGGATCTGTCCTCAGCTCCTCTTCCTCACCTGTAGAATGCACCCTTCCTAGAAACAAGGCATGCAGTGCACAGGTGTTGGGTTAGCCCGCAATCTGGGCAGCATCAGGCCATTTAAAAGGGTTGTTTTTCATTGTTACTATTACAATAGTCCTCACTATGAGGTGAGGGAGATGCTAGACAGAAGAGGGCCTGCCCAGTTCTTAGATTTTAATCAAGTTTTTCTTTTATTCCTTCAAGACCAGCTGCCCTGCCTGTATGAGAAGAGAGGACTCCTCTAGAGACGACGAGAGGCCATAGGCTTGAAGTGAGGCCTAGCGGGGCTGATTCATTCTCTGCCACCACTGTGACCTCTGGGCCAGCAACTTGATCTCACTCCTTCTCCCCACTGCCCCTCCCGGCCAACTCCTGCTTCCCCTTCCAGCTGGCTCCACGGTCACCTCTCCGGGAAGCCTTTCCTGACTCCCCAGAGGAGGCCCAGCAACCCCTCCCCACCTGACTCTTTCATAGCATCCATACCTGTCCTGTGGGGCAAGTCACAGTTGTGATCAAGTTTGTGCAGTTGTTCTGTTTGTCTCTCTGGAGCTGCACCCTGTCAGCTCCATCCTTAGACCCCAGAAGATCCCCTGGCATGTTGTGCTCAGTAAGTTTCTGCTGGCATCTCTCTAAGTCTTAGTGGGCGCAACTCTTCTCCCCAGAATGAACAGACCCTTGCATGCCTTCAGCCATTCCACCCACATCACATGCAGTGCTGTTCCCACCCTTTTTCTGGCTGATTGTCTCTGTCCGTCACCGAACACCACACACGATGAAAGCAAACCCCAACTCATGGGAAGCATTTGGGTGCTAATAACAATGTCTGATTTATTTTGTGTCTTGATTCTGAAGCTGGGACCTGAAGTTGTGTTTGGGAATTCTACAGCAGGTCCTGTTAAAGGCAAGAGTCAGGACGCTTTTGTTGTCTGCAACCTCTTTCTGGCTCTCAGGGATTATGTCCTGGATGAGAGACAGGAGAGAGCTCTTGAATGTCCACCTGAGTATCAGCAAAAAACAACAGGTAAATGTGTCCTGTGACGACATCCCTTCCGAGTCCACTGACAGAGGTGACAGGTGTGATGTATCGAGACAGCAGGTGGCCGGGGTAAGGGTTCACACGAGAGGGAAGGCTCGCAGGTTTGTCACGTCATCCATATCCACTCCCCTGCCTGCAGCCTCATGCAGTGTTCTGGCCTCTGTGGTTTTAATCCATTTTGATTAGCACCACGGGGGGGAAATCCATTGCTAGGTTCCTTCCAGGGTTTATGACTTGGGTCAGACCCTCTTAAAGGGGCAGGGTCCCTTCATACCAACTGCTTTCACCGGGGATGCTGTTTCAGAGCGATATCGAGCAGTTCCTTGGGCACAGGGGAAATGAATGGCCCTCAGAGGGCCCCCAGCAGGCAGCCAGGTGACAAAGGGTAAGGAGGCCAATAGTTTTCTCTCTGCTTACTACACTGCCACTCAATCCCCATGGTTTATTTCCACGGTTTCCAAATGTGTTTAGCTGTGCAAATTTTGTTCAAGAAAAGCATACGTAAAGCCCCACTCTGCAAATGCAAAGAGGCCCCGCTTAAAGAGATTAGGGTGTTGGAGTCCTGTCTGCTCCCATCCCCTCTCCCCTCCCCTAGAACCTTCCAGGGTTAGTTGCTCAATAACTAGATATTTAGCATATGCCTCGAACAAGCAGGCCCCTCTTCTGGGGCTGCAGAGGATACAAATACGAGCAAGAAACCTCACAAAGCTGGGAGTCTGGTTCCTACCATGGGACTGGAGAGAGGAAGTACTAGAGACGAGGAAACCAAGTGGCAGTGGAGGAAGCAGGAGAGAAGGAACACACCTAATCATGGGGTGTGGCTGAGGCTGCCACTTGCCTAACCAATATCTTTTTTTCCCCCCGTTTCTTCCTTTATAATAGAAGCCCTGATTTCCAGCTGGGACCATGGTTGCTTGGAATGGAAACTACATTTCCCAGCTTCCCTTGCAGCACATAGCCATGTGACTAAATCCTGGCCAATGAGATGCAAGCAGAAGTGGAAACCTCAGTTCAGAGATGCCAGCACTGCCCTCTGTCCCCTGACCTTCCCTGCCCCCTTCCTTCATCTGGATGCTGAGAGTGTTTACGGCTGGCTAGCTCTTTCTTGTATCTGTGGTTCCATTTAGCACCCTGAAGGAAGCACTGAGTAAAAGGGATTTTTGGAGCATTAAAGAGTTAATGCAGCCACAAAGGGTAAATCATTTCACTTTCTGCGGTGTATCACAGAGGCTCGACCAGGAATCTCAGCTATTCATCCTGCAGCAGCTTTGCTCCAGGGAGGCTGGCGGCTGTGTGATTCTGAACATCCCACAGCCCTAGGGCGTCTGCTGACTATGAACATCTCTAATTTTCAGGGTATCAGGCAAAGTTCTCACTAATATTTCCAACTTGCAAAAGAGACCTTCGATATTCAGGATACAGTTAGTGGTTTTTGCTAGGTTAGTGGTTCGCTTGGAATGGAAGGCAGTGGGAACTGGAGGGCTGTTTCTCTGACCTCCCCAAGACCCTTGGAGGCAGGAGTCCTGAGCGAGGGGGGCTCTCCTGGGTACAGCCGGGGCTCCGACAGAGAGGGCTTCCTCAGAGCTGGCCCTGCCTCCGGCAGATTACTCAGACAGCGGATCCAGGTCTGATTCCAGGAGAACCAAGGGCTGGTGGAGATCAAAATAAGGACAGGAGGATGGTTGAAACTGGGTGGGAGGACATCTCAGGGCTCCACGGGAAAGAGGCAGCAAGGGACTTGGGGAGCTGAGCTCCCTTGAGACCCCTCTGCCGGGCCCTGGGTCTCCCTGGTCCAGGGGGACCAGATGAACTGGGACGGGGCAGACAATTCTACAGCAAGTGATGGTTCTCTCCACCCAAATCGTGTCTTCCTCCTACTGCTTGAAATCCTACACTTAGGACACAGGGCCTGAGATGTCACCAATTAGAGGCAGCCTCTTAGGATTATGAGTCAACTCAATCAGGTGGTGTCCTGTGATCACCACCCTGAGCAAGTGGGAGTTGGGTTGAGGAGAAGAGGTTGAGAGGAGAGACATGTGAAGGGCAGAGGGACACAGGAATGAGGGTTTTGACAGCCAGAAGAAACATGAGGGCTCTGGGCACCATGGCAGCAGGGGGCAGGTACAGTGAATGTTAATTGAACACCTACTATATGCCAGATGTGACTCTAACTCTGGGGATAAACCTGGGAAATAAATGCTGCCCCCTCATTTACTTTAAGAGATTGCTTTGTGCCAGATCTTGTTCCCTTCTCTTGTTCTTAGAGATCAGATGGAACAGCATCTCTCCCTTTTGGAATCTTCTTCCTGGCCAATGGCCCTCAGTGACAGTGCTGGGGAGTGGCCTCCAGGTGCCTCTACATTTGGCCAAAGCCCCCATCCTGGCTGAGGGGGTCTATGCTGTGCCCTCAGGACTGCCTCCCCCTTAAGGGGCCCCTGCTTCCCTCTCCATCCTCAGCCAGCAGAGGCTCGTCTGGGATGGGTGAGCTCACTGAGGGGAGTACACGGAGGACCTTGGATCACACAAAGTGCTAATTGCTGTGGCTTCTCAGGGCTGCTGGCGGAGAGAGCCAAGGCTCAGGACAGAAACGTGGCTCCCAGCCCCTGGGAGGCTTAGAGGAGCAGGATGAAGACTCTGCCTCCTTGGCCTAGGCCTCCTTTCTTAGCAGTTCTCAGCCCCTGAGTTGATGAGCTGTGCTCTGTGGAGGGGTATGTTCATGTGATCTGCAACTACTAACATTTACTGAGTTCTTACTTTGTCCTAGGCTTTGTACTAAATACACACATGAACTTATCTAGTATTTAATCCTCCCACCAAACCTACGAGGTAGGTGCTATTATTATTACTCCAGTTTCACAGGTGAGGAAACTGAGGCACAGAGCTCAGACTTGCAAATGGTCAGACTTGCTAGAGAGAAAGTGGCAGATCCAGGGTTCCAGCCAGGTCATCCGGCTCCTAGTCCATGCGATTATCCACTGTGCTCTATAGCTTCTGGAGTTTGAAATGATTTTTTTTAAAAAGCACACACACACAAAAAATCAGAATGGACACTAAGCTATCCCTAGAATGACAGCACTTTTGTCCTTCACATCCCAACAAGCAACCTGTAACAGGTGAGACAGAAGTGGTGTCACAACCAGTGCTGTGAGCATTTGGCTAAACTCTGGTCTGCCCATCTACCAATTTGTAGCCACCGGTGTCACCCACTACACAAGACAAAACTCTTTACTAACATCTGGTTCCTGGCACAGAGCTAGTCCACGCCTCTCAGACCCCCTTAGAGAGACATGTGGCCAAATGGCCAGCTCCTGCCAAAGACGTGGGAGCGGGAGGGATGCGACCAGCCCAGGCTCCGGGAGGCTGTGCCTTCTCCACCTGCTCCTGCCCTCTCCGCCGCTGGGTGCTTAGGGCTCGGAGGCCTGGGGGTAGCAGAGCCACAAACAGAGCCTGGGCCCCTAGGGATGCACCCACCAACTAGGAACACCCACCTTAGTCTCTTGAACAAAAAATAAACTTCTATGGTACTTGAGCCACCGTAATTTTGGAGTCTGCTAACTCCTACAGCCTCGCCTGCTCTCTAATGCATCATTTCCTGTGCTTATCGTCACAGCCTGGCCTCAGCTGTGTTCAAGAACGACAGACATTCATGAGGGACTTAAGGAAACTTCTGATTTCCCAGTGTCCCCACGTTCAAACAGCCAGGGTCCCCTCCTCCCCCATCTGCCGTGGTCCCACCCGGCCCAGGAGGGAAGTCACAGGGGGGGCAGTGCATGCATTACGTTACCACATCTGTTTCCTTCCAGAGAGGTCCCATTCCTCTTGGGGCTGCAGCCTGGGGGCCTCAGCCCTGGTGCGGAGGGGCCTCCGGAGGACAGGGGGCTGGTG